CCTTGGGAAAGTTGTGTTGATTCCTTGAACTTCATTTTCTCATCTGTAAAATGCTAATTATAATAACTACCTTACAGAATTGTTGTCAAGAATAATAGGTTGAATATGTAAAACATTTAGCACAGTATATGGTAAACTCTGAGTTGAGAGCAGCCAAAGTGACAGGGTGTTCTGGGAGCATGTTCTGCATTCAGTGGTCAATGAAGGTGACCATTTAGAGCCAAGTTATCTCATCAGAAACAATTTGCATGACATTGTCTTCCCTGACCTTCATTTTTCATTTCTCATCTTCACTCCTTTAAAAATTATTTTGAATTATTTAAATATATTAGTTTCAACAAGAACTTCATAAAAGAAGATATCCAAATGACCATCAAGTATATGTTCATTAATATCATTACATATCAGGGAAATGGAAAATAAAACCACAGTGTTATTTAACTATACAGGCACCAGATTGTCTAAAAATGAAACACACTAGGGAGTGTTGCTGTGAATGTGAAGCAACTGGGACTCTCTTAATTTGAGGATGGGGGTGTGAAACAGAACAACCACTTTGGAAAGCTTATTGGCTGTTTCTAATAAAGTCGAATATGCCTACTCTGTGCCCAAGAGAAACAAATGTGTGTGTCTAAAAAAAAGGCTTGTATGAGAATATTCATAGCAGCTTTATATATAATAGCCCTAAACTGGAAACAACCTAATCCAATAAAAGGATAAACAAATTTTGCTTTATTCATACAATGAAGTACTATGCAGCAGTAAAAAAAGAATAAACTATTGATATACACAACAACATAGAAGATACTCAAAAATTATGTTGAGCTTAAGAAACCAGGTACAAAAGGGTAGCATACTGTATGATTCCATTTATATGAAGTTCAACATAGGCAAAACTAATCTATGATCATAAGAATCAGAATAATGGTTACTCCTGGGAGTGTGAGGATGTGATGTTGACTAGAAAGGACACAAAGGAACTTTCTGGGGTAATGGAATTGTTCTATAACTTGATCTGGGTGATGATTACTTGGGTAAATGCAAGTATAAAAATTCATCAAGCTGTATACTTAAGGTATGTGCATTTTATTATGTATAAGTTATGCCTCCATTTAAAAAAATATCTAATGGTTTCTAAGTGTTATATATCTGAAAAATTCATGTCAAACCCATATACCAGAGACAGCAGTTTGGGATTTGTTGTTAGTTTAAGCCTTAGTTAAGAGAAGTTATATTTGTAAATATCACATAGAAAGCATGGAGCAGCCCCAGAAAGAAAAATACATCAGTTTCATTTAGGCCCACTGTGACTTCTGTGTGTCCCAAAGGCAAATTAAGCCCCATCCAAAGCACTTTATATGAATTATCTCATCTAATCATCACAACAACCTTAAGAGGCAGTGCAAGATGTTAGTGTTAAGATTGACATCCTTTATATGAAGGAGAAAGATGAAGAACCTCTCTGTTATCTCAAGCAATTCAACTCTGGCCCAACTACAAACCTCACTGTAGCAAAATGAAGATAGATAACTGAACTCATTCTCCTTGAAGACAGTTCAGAGATAATCTGTTGTAACTGAACATGCCCCTTGGTGATCTCACCCCACCCCACTCCCCCCGCACACATACACCACAATGTTCTCCTTGAAAGAAGTTGGGTAAATATAAGGTTTGTGTTTCCTTTTTGTAAATTAGTACCCTTATAAATTAGCACCCTTGATAACTGCTCATCTGTATCACCACCACGTTCAGTTTTGATGTAGCTGCTATTTTTAATCCCTGGTTTTCTGTTGAGGAACCTGAGGCTCAGGCAAGTTGGATAATATGCTATATTAGTTTTTTATTGCTGTGTAACAAATTACTACAAACTTAGCAGCTTAAAACAACACACATTTACTATCTCACAGTGTCTGTGGTTCAAGAGTCTGGCACAGCTTAGTTGGGTCCTGTGCTCAGGGTCTTAAAAGGCTGCAATCAAGATGCCAGCTGGGCTACATTCAGTGGGTTGTTGACAGGATTTATTTCCTTGCGTATGTATGGTAGGTGCCTCATTTTCTTGCTCACTGTTGTTTGGAAACTGCCTTCTGCTCCAGAGATCATTGCCACATGAGCCCCTCCATAAGCCATCCCACCCTATGTATAATAGTTTGCCTCTGCTAATCCCAAACTCCCATTCCTTCCCCCCACCCCCACGCCCCTTGGCAACCACAAGACTGTTCTGTGTATCTGGGTCTGGGGTTAGCAGATGCAAACTATTATGTATAGGATGGATAAACAACAAGGTCCTACTGTATAGCACAGGCAACTATATTCAATATCCTGTGACAAACCATGATGAATATGAAAAAGAATATATTGGCTTGGCCAAAAAGTTCGTTCGGTTTTAAGTAAAAATAAAAGACTCATTTTCACCAAGAATTTTATTGAACAATGTATTCACTAACTGAACGAACTTTTTGGTCAACCCAATATATATGTGTAACTGAGTCGCTTTGCTGTACAGCAGAAATTAACACAACATGTAAATCAACTCTACTTCAATAAAATCTTAAAAAAAGAAAAAGCCCTCCCACCACACAGTAGCTTATTTCTTCAAGGCCAGCAGGAGAATCTCTGATCTTGGGGAGGGCACCAGACCCTCTGTTAAAGAGCTTACCTGACTAGGTCTGGCCCGCATGAGATAATCTCCCTTTTTATTAATTCAAAGTCAGCTGGAGCCTCAGTTACATCTGCAAAGTCCTTTTTGCCATATAAGGTAACATAACCACAGGATTGATCTGCTCATATTCACAAGTTCTACCCTTACTTAAGGGGAGGAGACAATACAGGGTGGGGACACCAAAAGGATGGGAATCTTGAGGACCATCTTAGAACTCGGCCAAGTTGCACAGTCACCCAGCAGGTAATTGGCAAAGCAGTATTCTCTTTGAGCAAAGCATGCATGGAAATCATTAAGTTGTAGTGCCTCTCAAAAAGCTAACTACAAAATATTTTGTAGCTTTCTCAAAAAGCTAACTACAAAATATTTTAGAAATATTCCAAATACCTGACATTTGTGAATAATGTAACACTCAACACTATTAAAGTAAGTGTAAGCTATGTAAATACCTAAAAGTGCACATATGTAAATAATGTTAAGGAACAAAAATGAGAATATAAAATAATATATACATGCTATCTACTGTTACATTAATGATACATGGATTAGAAACTATATGATGATATAAAATAGTTGATTTAAGTTTCTGGACTTTTAAAAAATTTATTTCTCATTTTAAAAGTATAATCTATAAAAAGATGGTTTATCATACAAAATAGCAGGTGATAAATGTTAAATATTTCTGTTGACAATAAGTGCTACAGAAGTTCAGAATAGGGGAGATTAATGTGGACTAGAGTTTTCCTTTAGGTGTAAAATAAGGTTAATTTTTTTAATGAGGTAGTTTATCATAAATTTTGCCCTAGGACTAGTTCCTTTTATGTAGCTTGTCATCTGCTCAGCATATAAAATTACATGGCTTCTTTGAAGAGGCCCAAGTCATCTTCCCAGATGTGGCTCATTCTAATTTAAACAGAACTCCTTTAACATTGCTTTAGAAACTCAAAATCTTAAAAGCGTCATTGTAATAGCCCTCTTTTATCATAGGAGAGGAAAAATTGTATTGCTATATATATGTTAGGTGACACTTTTTACCAATCAGTTCATCATTTTCAACTATTGCAAAGTAAATTGGTGGGGTTTTTTTTTCCCCCCTCTGCTAGGGATCTCAATTATTCATTCATTCTAGAGTACATGTCTCTGGAATACATAACTATCTCAACTGTTTATGAATTAGTTCTTACTTTAAAAGAAGTTGGGGCAAACTGAATAATAGCCTCCCAAACATGTCCATGTCCTAATTCCTGGAACCTGTAAATGTCATTTTATATGGCACAAGCGACTTTGTATGACAAGAGGCTTTACAGACGTGATTAAGGATCTTGAGATGAGGAAATTAGCCAGGATTACATGGGTAGGCCCGATGTAATCAAAGTGGTCCTTAAAAGAGGGACAAAGGAGCAGTCCAATGGCCCATGGTACAGACCAGTGGTTCTCAAAGTGTGGTTCCAGATTGGAATTTGTTAAAAATGCAGATTCTCTGACTCTGCTCTAGAGTTACTGAATTGGAAACTCTGGGGAGTAAGCCAAGCAATTCACATTGAACAAGCCCTCCAGGTGATTCTGATACATCTTAAAGTTTGAGAGTCATTGATATAAACTAAGTTTTGCTCTCCTTGATGAAACAGGGTTGAGGCTAAAATGCTGGGAAAGCTCACTCTACTGGCCTGTCAAAGGTAGTTTGCAACTCTTCCTTTCTGCCTGAGTTCTATCAGACTATAATCACTTGAACAGCTTAATTGAAAAATCACTTATGTTTACAGCTGAAATTAAATATGTTTTGTATTTAAATAACTGCTTTTGATTAGAATCATATTTTGTGGAAAGTGCTTGGTCTTATCTGTGTGCTGTAAAGATATTTATAAGAACTCATCACATTTCTAGCAGTAACTAACATCCTGTTCAGTATAAGGTGAAGTGTTCTACATCAAATCTCATGCTGTGTAATGGCCAATCAAAGGATATTTAAGGTGGCTGAATGGATTTCTTGGCTTAGTATTCAAAATTAAACATTTTAAGGCATTAACATTCAATGTTTTTCTTCTTCTCAAAGTTGATGCTATATACCCCTCATTATTTGCAATTCCTGAAGTCTTGCTTAAGCAGCGAGTGGCAACACTTTCTTTTTCTCATCCTTGTGGATTTACTGAAATGTAGATTGTTTGAAAATGAGATTAGCTTTATGGCACATGTCTGTTTAGCTATGTGACTACTATCATTTATTAATTAAGAAGACAAAAACACAGCTTTGTCTTGGTAAACATATATCACTGATTTCTGAAAAGTTAAAAGAACTCCTGTTGTGCTCTTATTTGACAAGTGATCTTGCGATTCCTTTTAGGTATCCAATAGGAAAAGCACTCTCTGGTCTTCATCTGTGGAACTGGATGGTTCCTACTTGAGTGTAGCCAAACCACAAACCCACACTCAAACCAAGCAAAGGCCTAAGTCTGCAAATCAGGACTCAGCTTCAGAATTCCTTGCGGAATTTAGGAATAATTCTTTGAAACCAGCAGCCCTTCATTATCCCAAGGAGGATGTCGACAAGGTGCCATCAGAGACCAGAACATGTAATTATGGATCCCCAGGGAAAAAACTAGTAGATGCAGTCCCTACAGAGAAAGTTCCACCAGAGGACCTGAAGATGAAGGAATGCCAACACCTCAAGGCTACTCCATCTAGTCAGTGTTGTGGTCATAGACTTTCTGAAAATGTGGATCATGTTCATGAGAGCCATCCGACAAACATGGTCCCTCAATATTCCAAGACACATCTGGAATCATGCAGGTATTGTGGGCTTTCCTGGGCATCTCTGATGCGTGGCCAAGGGGCACTGCAGCCTAGTGAAACAGATGTCAAAAAGCAGCTCTCAGAAGATAGAAGGCAGCAACTCATGCTTCAGAAAATGGAGCTGGAAATTGAAAAGGAACGCCTTCAGCATCTACTGGCCCAGCAGGAGACAAAACTACTCCTAAAGCAGCAGCAGCTTCATCAGTCTCGACTGGACTATAACTGGTGAGTCCTACCTGTTCTTTCAGCAGTATCTATAGCTTGGAGAACACAGTATAAAATGACAGCTGTGTTACTATAACAGATGTGTAGGAACAGAAGTTCCTCAGGACTTTGGTTTGCTCAAGATGCACAGCAGCTATGACTTGCAAGTAAATTGCACTGTCTTTTGGGGAAGACTTGAAAGATTACCTTGTCTTCCAAAATGTTAGCTTAGAATATCTACTTCTCAGCAGTCCAGTATAATTTTTTCTGGATTCAAAAGACAGTATTTTTAAATATTACCATTGCACAAAATCCTTTGCTGTTTTATGTCATTGTAGAGAATATTACCATTAAGTAAAAGCATGAGATTTCAGGATGTGAAATCAGACCGAAGTGTGGCTAGCTGTCATCATTCCATGCAACAAATGATGGGAACCTTCTAAATTCAGTCTTTTCTGGTCATGAAGCATAGCCTGTTCAATAACCAGTTTCTTATACACATACCCACACTTAAACTGTTCTTCCTCTAACAATTTTTCCCTGAGAACAATGTTTCAAAAGCTAAAGTCCTGTTTTATATCATGTAGTGTTCAGCATAGTTTTACATGCAGAGTCGTAAAGTTTGTTATCTTAGTTTAAAAATAGTAATAAATCAGACACAATTGTATTTTAAACACAAGAAAATATGGCATCTATGTCTTTTTTAAAAAGTAAGTTTCAAGTTTTCATAGGGAATTGTGTGTGTGTGTGTGTGTGTGTGTGTGTGTGTGTGTGCGCGCGTGTCTTTCCCTGCCATTTCCTCCTTGGTCAAACATACCATTTCCCCTTTGTACGCATTCTTAGGCACATAGATCCTATACAGACACACTTAATTCTAGTGTTATTTTCTTTTACTTCTTGGAGTTAATTTTCTTTCATTTTCAGATCTTGCCTAATATTTTTTAAATTTTAATTTCTTTGAAAGTTCCATCTTGACATTTTTCCTTCAGTGTAATACTGACTCTTCTAGGAAGCAAAAGTGGTCTTCCTCTTTCTCTTCATGATCAGACAGTTTTATTCTTCATTGCTGAAACCTGGAGGCTTTTAAAGGAAGTGAAAATGAAGTCTCTTGTAACAAGATTGTAACCAAAGGCTGAAATGTTGCTTCAATTTTACTACCCCAATCTCTAATACTCCAGTTAATGTGTAGTCTCTCCTGAGAACTTCATTCAACAAACATTTATCGAATGCCTTTGTTATGTGAGGAATGGTTTTAGGTACTTGGGATAGGTAAAAAATTTTCAAGTGCGGTCTTTAAAGAGGTCACAGTCTAGCAAGGGAGAATGGGTAATTTTAGACTAGGCATCATGTTCATTTGAACAGGATTGTATGTTCAAATAGGGCTGCATAATGATAATAAAGTCTTTATTGTTCTCTTGATCACCCTAGCTTAGATGAAAGAGCTATGAAACACAGATTTTGAACAAGTTTTGTGTATATAAATTGTAAACATTTATGCATATGTATAGAGATTTTTAAAACCTTTTTATTTTGAAATAATTATATTTAGATTGATAGAAGTTGCAAAAACCAGCTTCTCCCAATGACTGCATTTTATACAACTGTAATATATTATCAAAACTAGTAAATTAACTGGTACAGTGTGTATGTGTATTTCTATGCCATTTTATCACATGTGTGGATTTGTGTAACCACCACCACAATCAAACTACAGGACTATTTCAGCACCACCAAGATTTCCTTTGTACTCTTCTGTTAGAGTCACTCTCTGTGCCCCCATCCCTAACCCCTGGAGACTCTTAATCTGTTGTCTATTTCTATAATTTTGTTATTTTGAAAATGTTATATAAATGGAATTATACAGTATGTGAAATTTTGATATTGGCTTTTCTCATTCAGCATAACGTTCTTGACATCCATCTAGGTTGTCGCATATATTGTACCTTTTGATTTCTGAGTACTATTCCACGATATGGATATACCATGATATGTTTAACCATTTATCTGTTAAAGGACAATTGGTTGTTTTCAGTTTTTTTCTGCTACAAATAGAGCTGCTATATATTCTAATACAAGTTTTTGTGTGGCCTAAGGTTTTTGTTTCTACAAATGAAAACTAAGAGTAAGATTGCTAAATCTTATGATAAGATCATACTTAACTTATACCACATTAAGTTTAAAATACGTTTCTACCAGTAACGTATGAAAGATCATTTCTCCACATCCTTGCCAGCATTTGATAGTGTCACAGGTTTTTATTCGACATGTTCTAATCTGTGTGTAGTGATACTTCATTGTCGTCTTAGTTTGCATTTTCCTAATGGCTAGTGATATTGAATATCTTTTCATTTGCTAGTTTGCCCTCCTTCCATCCTTTTGGGTAAATTGTCCCTTTAATATCTCTTGCCATATTCCAACTGGATTGTTTGAATTGTTTTCCTGTTGAGTTGTGAGAGTTCCTTATATATTCAAAGGATATAAGTCCTTTGTCAGATAGGTGGATTGCAAGTATTTTCTCCTGATCTGTAGCCTGTCTTTTCAATCTCAAAGAGGGTCTTTCACAAAGCAAAAGTTTTCAATTTTGATGAAGTTTGATTTTTTATTTTTATTGTAGATTATATAAAGTTTCCATAATGACTGTTGAATTTTGTCAGATACCTTTTATGTGTTAATTGACGTGATTGTTTGATTTTTCTTTTATAGCCTGCCAATATGGTGGGTTGCATTGACAGTTCTTTTTAATATTGACCTGGCATTTTATCCCTGGAATAAATCTCCTTGGTCATAGTGTATAATAATTTTTATATACTACAGATTTCTATTTACTAGTATTTTATTAAGGATATTTACATCAATATGTATGAGGGATATTGGTCTGTAGTTTTCTTTTTTTATACTGGCTTTGGTTTTGGTATCAAGATAATATGGGTCTCATTTATTTATTTCATTCATTTCTTTATTATTTCCTTATTTCTGCTTGCTTTGGATTTGGGAGCTTAGATTATTGATTTGATACTTTTCTTCTTTTTTACTGGAAGCATTTAGTGCCATAAATTTCCCTCTCAGCACTGTTTGTTAGTCTCACATATTTTGGTATGTTGGTATGTTCACTGAACATAATGTCCTCTAGGTTCATGCATACTGTTGCAAATGGCAGGATTTCCTTCTTTTTTCTGGCTGAATAATATTCCACTGTGTGTATGTTTGTGTGTGTGTGTGTGTGTGTGTGTATCTCACATTTTCTTTATCCATTCATCTGTCAATAGACACTTAGGTTGTTTCCATATCTTGGCTATTGTGATTAATGCAGCAGTGAACATGGAAGTGCAGACATCTCTTTAAGATACAAATTTCATTTCCTTAAGATAAATACCCAACTGCTAGATCATATGGTAGTTCTATTTTTAAATTTTGAGGATTTTCCATACTGTTTTCCATAATGACTGTACCACTTTACATTCTCACCAAGAATATATAGGGATTCCCATTTCTCCATATCCTGACCAACAATTGTTGTTTCTTGTCTTTTTGATAATAGCCATTCTAACAAGTATGAGGTGACATCTCATTGTAGTTTTGATTTGCATTTCCCTGATGATTAGTGATATTGAGCATCTTTTCATGTACCTGTTAGCCATCTGTATGCCTTCTTTGAGAAAATGTCTATTCACATCTTCTGCTCATTTTTTAATTGGATTGTTTGGTTTTTTGCTATTGAATTATATAAGTTCTTTATATATTTTAGATATTACCCCTTTATCAGATATATGATTTGCAAATATTTTCTCCCATTTGGTAGGTCTCCTTTTCATTTTGTTGGTGGTTTCCTTTGCTGTGCAGAGGCTTTATAGTTTGATGTAGTCCCACTTATTTATTTTTGGTTTTTGTTGCCTTTATATTTTGTGTCAGCTCCAAAAGATCATCACCAAGACTATGTCAGTGAGCTTACCACCTATGTTTTCTTCTAGGAGTTTCATGGTTTTAGGTCTTACATTCTAGTCTTTAACCCATTTTGAGTTAATTCTTATGTGACGTGTAACATGTAAGATACTGGTCTAATTTCATTCTTTTGCGCGGGGCTGTCCATTGTTCCCAAAACCATTTATTGAAGAGACTATCCTTTCCCAATTGTGTATTCTTGGTACCCTGATCAAAGATTAGTTGACCACATATGCAAGGGTTTATTTCTGGGTTTTCTATTCTGTTTTATTGGTCTTTGTGACTGTTTATATGTCAGTTTGTATGTGTGGGTGTGTATACTCACTCATTTGATTTTGATTTAGTATTTTTCTCACTTCTATTTATTTCTGATTTACTCTTTTTACTTCCAGGTTTTTTTTTTAATAAATTTATTTATTTATTTATCTTTGGCTGCATTGGGTATTTGTTGCTGTGCGTGGGCTTTCTCTAGTTGCGGTGAGCTGGGACTACTCTTTCTTGTGGTACGCAGGCTTCTCATTGCGGTGGCTTCTCTTGTTGCGGAGCACAGGCTCTAGGCGTGCGGGCTTCAGTAGTTGTGGCACACGGGCTCAGTAGATGTGGCTCGCGGGCTCTAGAACGCAGGCTTAGTAGTTGTGGTACACGGGCTTAGTTGCTCCATGGCATGTGGGATCTTCCCGGCCCAGGGATTGAACCCGTGTCCCTTGCATTGGCAGGTGGATTCTTAACCACTGAACCAGCAGGGAAGCCCCTCTTCTAGTTTTATTAAGCTATAATTGGCATACAGCACTGTATAAGTTTAGGGTGTACAGCATGATAATTTCACTTACATACGTCATGAAATGACTACCAAGATAAGTTTAGTGAATATCTATCATCTTATATAGATACAAAATTAAATAGAAAAAAATTTTTTTCCTTGTGATAAGAACCATTAGGGTTTACTCTCTTAACAACTTTCATATATAACATACAGCAGTGTTAATTATATTTATTATGTTGTATATTATATCCCTGGTACTTTTTTATCTTATAATTGGAAGTTTGTACCTTTTGACTACTTTTATCTAATTCCCCTTCTC